CCGGGGCTGGGTTTGAACCCGCCACTCTTGGTATATGGGGCCAGTGCCCTACCCACTGAGCCACAGGTACCGCCCTTAGGTCCCAATCCTAATCTAGGATGATCTCATCTTGAGAGCCTTAATTACATCTGCAAAAACCCTTTTCCCAAATAATGTGACATTCACAGATACCAGGAAGAAACATATCATTCCAGGGCTCACCCTATAACTGACTACAGGAAGTGTTTGCTTGTTTTTTGAAATAGTCTCATGAATAGCTGAGAATACAGGCGCCAGCCACAATGCCTGGCTAATTTTTTTTTTTTACAAAGTAAAAAATTATTTAATTGAGCAAAGAAATACATTTCTACAATAATTGTTGAGTGTTCAATTGTCTCACTTTCAATGATGGGCAGATAAGCGAGAAAATTAGGGACTTCAATAATACAATAAACCAACTAGATCTGACAGACATATATATACAGACCACTCTCTCAAACAACAGCAAACACATTCTTCCCAGGATAGATCCTATGTTAGGCCGTAAATTAAGTCCTAATAGCTTTTTTTTTCTTTCTTTTTTTGGTCTGGCTATTTTTAGAGACAGGGGTCTCACACTTCTTCAGGCTGGTCTTCAACTCCCAAGCTCAAGCAATCCACCTGCCTCAGCCTCCCAGAGTACTGGGATTATAGGTGTGAGACACCAGGCCAGCCAGTTCAACAAAGAATCTGCCATTTAAAATTCATTAAAACTAGTTCTACTTGAAAACATTATGCTAAGGAAAAGAGACCAAACACAAAAGGCCACATATTGTAAGATTCCATTTATGAGATGTACAGAATTAATAAATGTATATAGAGAGAATGTAGATTAGTGGTTCCCAGGGGTTTGGGGTAGGAGAGGAGACGAGAATGTGGAATGATTGCTAAAAAGGGTTTCTTTTTTTTTGCAATTTTTTGCCAGGGCCAGGTTTGAACCCACCACCTCCGATAAATGGGGTCCCTGGCGCCACCCTAAAAAGGGTTTCTTGAGGAGTGATGCAAATGTTCTGGAATTAGTAGTGTTGGGTGCACACTCTTGTGAATATACTAAAACCATTAAATTATATGCCTTAAGATGGTGAACTTTATGTCAATTATATCTTAAAAAATAAATAAAACCAAAAAGACATCTGATTCCATATTTTGTTTAAATTTCTATTAATACATCAAATGCCTATTGTGAAAACTATTTTATTTTTTTTGAGACAGAGCCTCAAGATGTCCCCCTGGGTAGAGCGCTGTGACATCACAGCTCACAGCAACCTCCAACTCCTGGGCTTAAGCGAGTCTCCTGCCTCTGCCTCCCAAGTAGCTAGGACCACAGGCACCCGCCACAACACCCAGCTATTTTTTGGTTGCAGCCATCATTGCTGTTTGGCAGACCAGGGCTGGATTTGAACCCACCACCTTAGGTGTATGTGGCTGGCACCTTAGCCACTTGAGTCACAGGGGCTGAGCCAAACTTTTTTTTTTTTTTTGAGACAGTCTCAAGCTGTTGCCCTGGGTAGAGTGCTGTGGGTCATAGCTCACAGCAACCTCCAATTCTTGGGCTCAAGTCATCCTCTTGCCTCAGTTTTTCTATTATTAGTTGAAACGAAGTCTTGCTTTTTTGCTCAGGCTGATCTCGAACCAGTAAGCTCAAGCAATCCACTCGCCTCAGCCTCTCAGAGTGCTAGGATTACAGGTGTGAGCCACCACATCCAGATTGTGAAAACTTTTTTGAGTGAGAAAAATCTGGCTTGGCGCCTGGGGCTCATGTGGCTAAGGCGCCAGCCACATATACCTAAGGTGGCGGGTTCGAATCCAGACCAGGCCCACCAAACAACAATGATGGCTGCAACTAAAAAATAGCCAGGCATTGTGGCAGGCACCTGTGGTCCCAGCTACTTGGGAGGCTGAGGCAGGAGACTCGCTTGAGCCCAGGAGTTGGAGGTTGCTGTGAGCTGTGATGCCATAGCACTCTACCCAGGGGGACAGCTTGAGGCTCTGTCTCAAAAAAAAAAAAAAGAAAAATCTGAGTTTTAAGATAATAATTCTAGGGCAGTGCCTGTGGCTCAAAGGAGTAAGGCGCTGGCCCCATATGCCAGAGGTGGCAGGTTCAAACCCAGCCCCAGCCAAAAACCGCAAATTAATAATAATTTCTAAAAAAAAAATTCTTTTTTCTCTGTTATTCTTGGGACTATTTTACTTTCTTTTCTTTTCTTTCTTTTTTTTGGAGTCAGAGTCTCACTATGTCGCCCTCGGTAGAGTGCCAGGGCATCACACAGCTCACAGCAACCTCCAACTCTTGGGCTTAAGCTATTCTCTTGCCTCAGCCTCCCCAGTAGCTGGGATTACAGGTGCCTGCCACAATGCCTGGCTAGTTTTTCTATTTTTAGTAAGACTAGTCTCCTGAGCTCAAGCAATCCACCTGTCCTCTCAGCCTCCCAAAGTGACAATTTAACTTTTTGACATATAAACTTATAATACGTAATATGTACAAGTTGATTTTTTTAACAGAAATGGCTCACACACAAGCAGATGTTTTGATATACACTATGAAATGATCTCCATATTTCAAGTGAACATTATCTAGTACCTCTACATAGTTTACCTTTGTACCCTTGAGCAATAGCACCCCATTCCTCCTTCTCTCCACACAGATTTACTTCTTATTTTTATTTTCTTTTTAATTCATTTTGGAGACAGTCTCGCTCTGTCACCCAGCAGGAGTGCAGTGGCATCATCTCAGCTTGCAACAAGCTCCAGCTCCTGGGCTTAAGGGATCCTTTTGCCTCAGCCTCCAGAATAGCTGAGACTACAGGCATGCCCCACAACACCAGGCTAATTTTTCTAATTTTAGTAGAGACAGGTCTCTCTGTTGCTCAGGCTGGGTCTCCAACTTCTGAGCTCAAGGGATCCTCCCACCTCAGCCTCCAAAAGTGCCAGGATTACAGGCATGTGCCACCACATAGGACCTACTTTTTTTTTTTTTTAAGAGATAGTCTCATTTTATCACCCTCGGTCGAGTGCCCTGACGTCACAGTTCACAGTAACCTCCAGCTCCTGGGTTTAGGCGATTCTCTTCCTCAGCCTCCCGAGTAGCTGGGACTACAGGCACCCACCACAACGCCCGGTTATTTTTTTGTTGCAGTTTGGCTGGGGCCGGGTTTGAACCCGCCACCCTCGTTATATGGGGCCAGCACCCTACCCACTGAGCCACAGGTGCCACCCAGGGGCCTACATTTCTTATCTAGTGAACATCAGACACAAATATTTAGGGAGCAGCCTTCAAACTTTTTTCGGTAAACTACAAAACAACAACAACAACAACAAGAAAAACTCTGTAATATGTACATGGAAGCCATGCAAGAACCTTGGATGCTTAATAAAGTAAATAGGAAAATAAATGGTACGGTCCTACCAGGAAGTTAACATGTGATTGATTTATGTAACGACAAACCACAGGATATATTGGGAAGGCCGAGAAATGCAGAGCCTTACACAGTATACATTTTATCTCATGTTTTTGATGTTCCAAACTAGAAAACATTTGGAAAGACAGTAACCCACTTTTTCAGGTTCGGGGGAATCTAAAGTATGAACAATCTCAGAGCCTCATCGTAACAACTGGAAAAGCCCCTAATTCACAGAGTTGTTTTAAGGATTAAATAATACCAAACAAAAATGCATGAAACGATATGCGCACTGTAAAAACTGGAAGTTACACACGTTACCTCGCGGTCAGTATTTACTGTATTGCTTAGCCCTATTTTTTAACTTACTTGCAAATGACACTATTTTCTGTGAAAATTTATCCCTTGATAAATCTTTGGTGAGATCACTCTACGAAAATAGTGCACAGTAAACTCAGATATTTAAGAGAGAAAGAATAACCGCTCGTAAAACGCCTGCGAGTTCCTCGCGGCCACCGTACTCTCCTCTCCCAGAAGGCCCCGGTGGCGGAAGTCGTCACCCAGCAGGGACAGAACCCACGCCGCGCGTCCCGCACTAGGCTCGCCATGGCGATGGGCAGCGGGGGCAGCGGCGGCGGCGGCAGCGGCGGTGGTGTGGTCCCGGAGCAGGAGGACTCGGTGCTGTTCCGGCGAGGTACAGGCCAGGTGAGGCGTTCGCAGCCCCCTCCTCCCGGCCTCCGCAATCCTTCCTCGGCCGCAAGGCGGGACGTGACTCTTCTCACTGTGGAGTCCCGGTGTCTCTACATATTTTCTTACTCCCCTCTCTGCGATCCTTCCTCGCGCCACTTTGGTGCCTTGATGGCTTCGACCCGAAGAATTATCTCACAACCTGACGTTATCTTGGTTTGTCCACCTCTCTCAGACTGCGGACAGGACCAGGGGGAAGTGAGGAATCCAGTTAGGGTTCTTTTGAAATTATCCAAACTCATATCAACTTGTTAGCCGTGGAGAAAGACTGAAGTATTTGGATTCTGTATATATTTTGAAATCAGACAGCAGGTCTTGCAGATGGATTCGGTAATGGAAGTTTGAGGAGGAAAGTTAAGGATAACTCCAAAGTTATCCTGAGCAATTGAAAAAATGAAGTTGCTTTTTACTAAGATGTACTAAAATGGGGAATAGGGAACATTGAAAAGTAGAGCAGGTTTATAAGGGAGATGATCAGAAGATGGCATAGTAGGGATGAATTCTGATTGGAGTTGCAGAGTAGGAGAGAAATTCAGGGCAACGTTTATGAACAAGTATTTCAAGGATTGACATTAAAGTTAGAAAAACTGGGCAACAGATAAAGGCGCAAGTGAGGTAAAGCGTTTTAGTTGTGTTTTTTGTTTGTTCTTAAGATGGGAGCAACAGGTTTCAGCATGCTTGTGGACCGATAGGAAAGGTTCTGTAAAATTGGAAAAATTGATGCAGGAAAGGAAAATTACCAGACCAATGTCTTCTGGTAGGTAAGAAAATGGATTTTGCCTTTTTTAGAAACATTGGCAGTTCTTGCAGTGACAGTTCAGGGGGTACAGAAATGTGAGAAAGAGCAGATGGGATGGCAGGAGTTGGAGGTTTTAGAAAGAAAAGGTAGCGTGCAGTGCTCTAGGAAAGTGGGTGAGTGTCCGACTAGGAAAACTTAGTGGAACTGTTGATAGGCTGCATGGAGAGCCTACATGAGATTTGTGGTCAAGAGTTTAAGGAGACCAGACAGCAAGATTCTGTGTGTAGGCATGCATAGGATTAATGGAGAGTTGAAATTAATAGGGTTGTAGTGAAGGAGGGGAAGAGGTATAAACAAGTTATCTTAATTGGTCATGGAATTTAACCCAGCTAAGAAAGAAAGTGAGTACATTAAGACCCTGAGGGACAGTTTTGAAAGTGGAAGGATCAAAAAATTTTCAGTTCCGGCTGGCGTCTGTGGCTTAAGGAGTAGGGCACCAGGTCCATATACCAGAGGTGGTGGTATATTTTGGCCTCAGCCAAAAATAACTGCAAAAAAAACAATTTTTTTTTCAGTTCCAGTGAAGTGGAATGATGGTCATCAGCAAACTACCAGAAGGAATAAAGTGCAGAGCCTAGAAGGTGACGATTACAGAGTAGAAATCTTTAAACTGTATTTATGTAGAGATTATAGACAGAGTCTACTTTTTGATACAGAGTCTCACTTTGTCACCCTCCGTAGAGTGCCATGGTGTCACAACTCACAGCAACCTCAAACTCTTCAGCACAACCGATTCTCTTGTCTCAGCCTCCCAAGTAACTGGGACTACAGGTGCCCACCACAATGCCTGGCTATTTTTAGAGACAAAATCTTGTTTTGGCTCAGTCTGGTCTTGAACCTGTGAGCTCAGGCAATCCACCTGCCTCGGCCTCCAAAGTGCTGGGATTACAGATGTGAGCCACTGTGCCTGTCTTCATGGATTCTTCTTCTTTTTTTTTTTGCAGAGACAGAGTCTTAACTTTATCACCCTTGGTCGAGTGCCATGGTGTCACACAGATCACAGCAACCTCCCAACTCCTGGGCTTAGGTGATTCTCTTGCCTCAGCCTCCCGAGTAGCTGGGACTACAGGCGCCCACTACAACGCCCAGCTATTTTTTTGTTGCAATTTGGCCGGGGGCGGGTTTGAACCCACCACCACCAGTATGTGGGGCCGGCGCCTTATTCATTGACCCACAGGCGCCACCTTTTCATGGATTCTTTTTTTAATTGAGACAGAGTCTCACTTTGTTGCCCTCAGTAGAGAGCCATGGCACCACAGCTCACAGCAGCCTCAAACTCTGGAGCTCAAGCAATTCTTGCCTCAGCCTCCCAAGTAGCTGGGACTACAGGCACCTGCCACAAATTTTGTTTTAGCAGGCCTAGGGTAGGTTCAAACCCAGCAGCCCAGGTGCATGTGGCCGGCACCCTACCCACTGAGCTCCAGGCGCTGCCAGAATTTTTTTTTTTTTTTTTTTTTGCAGTTTTTGGTCAGGGCCAGGTTTGAACTTAACCACCTCTGGTATATGGGGCCAGCACCCCTACTCCTTTGAGCCACAGGTGCCTCCCTAAAAAAAAATTTTTTAAGACAAGTTCTCCATCACCCAGGTTGGAGTACAGTGGTACCATCATAGCTCACCATAACCTCAAACTTCTGGTTTCAAATGATCCTCCACCTTAGTCTCCAGAGTAGTTGGGATGTCTCAGCATGTTGCCCAGGCTGGTCTCAAGTGATCCTCCTACATTGACCTCAGAAAGTGCTGGGATTACAGGTGTGAGAGCAACATAGTGAGACTCTGTCTCAAAAATAAAATCTTCCCAGCCTGGCAATAACAGTTGAGATGTGAAGAATTTCGGTCACTGTATGACTGTGTATACTAGTTTTATCTATTTGTTTTTTGTTGTTTGAGACAGAGGATGAAGCTGTCACCCTGGGTAGAGTGCTGTGGCATCACAGCTCACAGCAACCTCCAACTCCTGGGCTCTCACGATTCTCTTGCCTCAGCCTCCTGAGTAGCTGGGACTACAGGCCACAGCTACTGTCACAGCACTCAGCTATTTTTTGGTTGTAGTTGTCATTGTTCTTTGGAAGGCCTGGGCTGGATTTGAACCTACCAGCTCTGGTGTATGTGGCTGGTACCTTAGCCACTGAGCTGCAGGTGCTGAGCCCGTATACTAGTTTTAAAAGTGCCCTCTTCTATTGATACAGTGGAGTCCAGTTTTCTTTATTAGTAGTGCTTTTTGCAGTTGAAAGAGAATTGATATCTTCTGATTTTGTGATTTCTGTATTTCTTCAAAACTCTAAATTTATATGTTTGCTCTTTCCTTTCACCAAATATCCAAGGAACATTTCCCCTTGAAAGTAGTGTAACCTTTATCAAGTCAGTTAACCACTTTGTGATGATTTTCTTTACCTGTAAAATCGCTTAATGATTTTGAAAAAGTCTTCCTCTGTCCCCCAGGCTAGAGTGCCATGGCCTCAGCCTTGTTCACAGTACCCTGAAACTCCTGGGCTCAAGCAGTCCTTCTGTCTCAGCCTCCCAACTAGCTGGGAATCATACCTGGCTAATTTTTCTATTTTTTAAGTAGAGATGGGGGGGTCTTGCTCTTGCTCAAGCTGATCTCAAACTCCTGAATTCAAGCAATCTTTCCACCTCCTCCTCCAGAGCACTAGAAGATTTTAAGACTTTACATCATATAGAGAGATTGGCGATTTTATTTATTTATTTTCATTTTTGAGATAGAGTCTCATTTTGTGGCCCTTGGTAGAATGCCATGGTGTCATAGCTCATAGCTACCTCAAACTCTTGGGCTCAAGTGATTCTCTTGCCTTACTCTCCCGAGTAGCTAGAACTATAGATAACCGCCACAACACTCAGCTATTTTTTAGAGATGGAGGTCTCTTACTCAAGTTGGTTTGGAACTTTTGAGCTCAAGCAATCCACCTGCCTTGGCCTCCCAGAGTGTTAGGATTACAGGCATGAGCCACAGTGCTCCCAGCCTTAACATGTTTTTGATGAAACCTATCTGAACATGAGTTGTTTTTATTCCTTTCTCCAGAGTGATGATTCTGACATTTGGGATGATACAGCATTGATAAAAGCTTATGATAAAGCTGTGGCTTCATTTAAGGTAAGAAACATTTACTTACTCTTTCTCTTATTTTCTCATGTTATTCATTTTGAAAAAAAAATTCAGTGATAACATACTTCCCATAAGTGTTAAAGTATATGTTATTCAGTTCATAATGATGTGGAATAATTAAATCACGTCTCTGCCTTTAAATTTGATATCCTATCTATATGTCATCCCTTTTGAAGAGACAATATAAACTCTTTTTTTTTTTTTTTTGAGACAGAGCCTCAAGCTGTCCCCCTGGGTAGAGTGCTATGGCATCACAGCTCACAGCAACCGCCAACTCCTGGGCTCAAGCAAGTCTCCTGCCTCCGCCTCTTAAGTAGCTGGGACCACAGGCGCCTACCACAACGCCAGGCTATTTTTTT